AATTTTACGGAGACTTGCCACGGTCTCCAACCCTCCTCCTTTCCCATCCGGGCTTGGGACCGGCCATGGCGGACTGGCACATAACTCTTTCATTTTAAAGCGTACTGCAATGCCTCATGCTCTTGACTGCCGATGCCAAGGAGTCCGTATTTTAGCAAGCCACTACTACATGGTATTTAAACATCTGAGTGCTAACTGTATCTCATATAATCGTATTCATTAAAATATTCTCTTGCTTTTCACGTAATGATGCTTTAGAAACTAGTACGCCAAATATGCCACCGCAAAAAACACCAAGAATATATATTCAGGAGTCGAAGTATGCCAATTTGCGCATAAACTTTTCCAAGACCAGGTTTCAGAAAGCACAGTCGCTTCCAACAATCAAAAACAAAAGGTAAATCAAAAAGCTTTGAAATCTGGTTTTCAGGTAATTTTGCGCCAATTTATGATGGGCTGGTATGGTTGATTTACAACTTTAGTAAAACAGCTAGCAGAGAAGTGAAAGCCTCGCGCAACCGCAGGAAGACTCGCCTGTAGAGCAGCAGGGAACGGATATTTCTATTTCTGTCGATGAAATTACACAAGATGTGAAAAGCTTGAAAATACGGAAAGGCTGCTGGAATTGATGAAATCCGCACTGAAATGCTCAAAGAACACAAAAGTACGGAGCAGGCCTCCTATTTTTTCAAGATATTCGTAAGCACGCGGTGTAGTCATTAATGTAGTTGGTTAAGAAACTTACCGATAAATATTCGAAAATTTTTAGACAATGAAAGATCGGACCAACCAACAACTTAGGGAGGAGATATCGGTAGGCCAAGTAGAAACCACTTCCAAGTGACTAAACAACAAATATGACAGGAAAACAATGCGCAAACTTCTCAATACCTCTAAATGATTGACTACGTTTGGACGTTGCAAAACCATTGTCAACGTACTGGTGCATGAGTCAGACAAAATGTCATCGACGTACCTTGAGTAAATTTCGAACTCGTTACCCTACAATAAAGAATTTTAAAACACTGAACCGATAAGCACTAAGTAACTTTCGTGCAATTTATTGTTGCAAAAATAACTGTTACCGTTTTCAGTTTACCTGCTCAAAATGGAGTAAGCTTTAGATATCAACCACCTCTCGCGATGTTGCACCTGCTTTTAAACAGTGTCCTTCATCATCGCAATGATCCTCCGTTTTGCGCAGATTTTCATCATACACCTGAAAATCTGGCCTTCGACATCAACTTCTACCTATTCTCAAATAATTTTCAAAAGATGAAT